AGATGTGAGGCATGATGATGTGATGTATGATGATTGATGATGATGATGATGCTGATGATGATGATGATGGATGATGATGATGATGATGATGATGTGATGATGATGATGATGATGATAGAGTAGGTGAGGAGGAGGAGGCGGAGGAGGAGGAGAGGAGCGAGGAGGAGGAGGAGGAGGAGGAGGGGAGACGGAGGAGGAGGAGGAGGAGGAGGAGGTAGGAGGAGGAGAGGTGGAGGAGAGGAGGAGGAGGACGGAGGAGGAGGTGGAGGAGGAGGAGGAGGAGAGGAGGGAGGAGGAGGAGGCGAAGGATCTCCCCTCAGGAGCTGGGGCCGTCGCCTGACGCCCACGCCGCGGAGCTGCGGCGTGCGGAGAGGCGGCGGCGGCGCGAGGACCCGGGCGCACCCCTCGTCGGCCTCGGTCTTCGGCTGCCGCGCGGGCCCTGGGCCGTTGGCCGAGGGGGAGGGGGAGGAGAGGCAGGAAGAGAAGGAGGAGGAGGAGGAGGAGGAGGAGGAGGAGGAGAGGCAGGAAGAGAAGGACGAGAAGGAGGAGGAGGAGGAGGAGGAGGAGGAGGAGGAGGAGGAGGAGGAGGAGGAGAAACAGCAAGGATGAGGAGGAGGAAGATGGCCATGAGGAGAGTGAGGACGTGGAGGACGGCGTCGGGGGATTGTTCAAAGCGGGAACAGCTTTTGCTTGTTGATCGTTAGCGTTGACGGGGACCAGTCGGCGGGCCGGTGGGGGGGGAGGGAGGGACCCAAACCCCCTCGCGCTGCGAAAATTTCGCGGCGCGAGGTTTTTCGCTAGTTTCAGCTTCCGGGGCCCCTGCCGGGCTCCAGGACCGTCAACAAAAAGGGCTCAGAATGAAAAATCGGCCCCGGGAAAGGGGTCCAGATCTCTCTGGGGGTCGACGTTGTGGAAAAAATCAGTTCGTCGGGGGTCTGGGGAGGTCGGTCGGACTCAGCCTGACTCGATGTCCTTGATTCGACGGCGAGCGAGGGGGGGAAGTGAGATGAAGAAGGCCCAGGAGGCGGCGGGAGTTCTCCGAAGCCCCCGCGCCTTTTGTGACGCTTCCCGTGTCTTCGGGGAAGGCTTAGGAAACTTCTCAGAAGGCCGGGGGATTTCCGAGTCCTTTGGGCAGGCCCACCCCCTTCTCACTTCCCAGGCTCGCCGCCGAAGAGAGGTCAGCCAGACTCAGCCTCATTCGATGTCGGCTGTGCTCTCAGAGAAGGCTCTTGCCACCGGCGTGCGCCCCACGCGCCCCTGTCGTGGACCTCCCTCGCTCGGAGGGGGGCCCACGGCGCACTCCTCCCCCGAGATCCCCCCTGGGGAAGGGCTTCGGGAGATTCGGGGACACACCGTTCGTCCGAAAGGGAGGGAGGGGGGAGGGAGGAACGGGGTGGGTGGGGGGGAAGAATGCGGTAGCAAATCAGAGGAGCCCTGCATTTCCTCGCAATTTTGTCTTCATAGTGCACTCGTGTCGACTAGCCCTTGGTAATCGATGAGATAGCGTCGAATAAGCGTCGACTAGCGTCAGTTCGGTTCCATTTATCATACAGAAGCGTCGACTAAAGCCGATTCGCAAGAGGCAGCAAGATGGTATGGGAGGCTCCCATGAGATGCCACCGAAGGATACCAATACCGCTGCTCGTCCTGGAGAGCCCTCGTCATCACGTCTGGGTCTTCCTCGAACCTTTGGTCAAAGTTCACCCCGGGAGAGACTCTGAGGAGCAACAGTAGTTACTGTAGGTTCATCCGGCGATGGCGCGCCGGCGACGCCAGCGAAGGCGTCCAAGGTTGAATTCTTCGGCGCGGAAGCACCGATGGACACGGAAACGACGCTGGACCCGACTGAGGTCAATTTTGAACGATCGGGGCCGTGATCGATTCAAGGTTGAACAATCGAAGTGGTGTCAAGAACCTTTGCGCGCGCCGACGTCGCACGAGCCTACCGTATCGGTATTTTGCAGTTTCCTCATGACAAGGAGGATCACCACCCACCAAACCACCCCAATCCAACCCGAAGGCCCAAGTTTACCTTCGATTTCCAGTGGGGCAGGGGATCGGGGAACGTCGAAATACACATGTGGAAACCGTACCCCCCCCCACCCGAGTCTTGGGTCTTCGGGTTGGGTTGGGGTGGTCTGGTGGGTATCCAGAGGACAGAGGGGGGGAGGGGAGGGAGGGAGGCTCATGCCCCCCCCGGCCGTGCCCCCATCTCCCTGTACCGTTACTCTGCCCGCTTTCGCCTCGCCTCCCTTCTCCCTCCCCCTCCGGGAGCCAGGCCGCCTGGTATTCAGTCGGGAGCGTCCCTCTACAGGAGGAATGTTCAAGAGTAGTCGTGGCATAGTCTGGGGGCGACTTTTTGTTCTTCGATCTTTTTGGGCCATGTTTGAACGTTGTTGGGGACTTTTTGTTTTGTGCCTCCGATGTCCGCCTGTAGGGGGACATGCCCGACTCAAGCCTGGTGTGCAGCAGCGTGCGTGGTGGAGCGCAGCGCCAAGGCCCAGGGGCCCCTCCCGAGCGGGAATGGGGGTGGGGAGTCGTCGGGCGGACCCCCGGGGCGTAGACGAGGGAGGAAGGGAGAGAGGAGGGGGAGGGAGGAGGAGGAGGAGGAGGCGGAGGAGGAGGTGGAGAAGGAGGGGGAGGAGGAGGAGGAGTCGGAGGTAGGAGGCGGTGGAGAGGAGGGGGAGGAGGAGGAGGATGAGGCGGAGGAGGGGGAGGAGGAGGGGGGGAGGAGGAGGAGGAGGAGGAGGAGGAGGAGGAGGAGGAGGAGGAGGAGGAGGAGGAGGAGGAGAAGGAGGGAGGAGGGGGAGGAGGAGGTGGTGGTGGTGGTGGTCACTGCATAGGATGAACAAGTCCCACTCAGAATCAACAAGTCCCACTCCGAGCAACACGCACCACGACCACGACGTCGACGACGCTGACGAAGAGGGAATACCACGCGGAAGGAGGAAGCATAATAAGTCGGCTAACAGTAGTTTGAAAAGGATGATGATCATGCTGGTGCTGATGATGATGCTGATGGAGATGATGATGATGACGCCGTAGACGATGCTGATGATGATTATGATGCTGCTGATGCTGGTGATGATGACGACGCCGACGATGAGGATGACGATGATGATTATGATAATGCTGATGATGATGATGATGATGATGATGGTGATTGTGATGCTGATGCTGAGGATGATGATGCTGATGGTGATGATGATGCTGATGCTGATGATGCTGATGGTGCTGATGATGCTGATGATGATGCTGCGGATGATGATGATTGTGACGATGATGATGCTGATGATGCTGATGATGATGATGATGATGACGGTGGTGGTGATGTTGCTGATGCTGATTACGTTGCTTGGTGTTGTTGGTGATTATTATGCTGCTGCTGATGGTGTTGATGACGATACTCATGATCATACTGATGATGATGATGCTGCTGATGATGCTGCTGATGATGTCGATGCTGATGCTGGCGATGCTGATAACGATGATGCGGCTGTTGATGATGATGCTGATGCCGACGACCACGACGACGACGATGCTGCGGCTGTTGATGATGCTGCTGATGATGATGGTGATGATGCTGATTATGATGATGAGGCTGATGCTGATGACGCTGATGATGATGACGACGGTGCTGCTGCTGATGATGATGCTGCTGATGACGATGCTGCTGACGATGAATCAGATGCTGGTGGTGATGATGATGCTGATGGTGGCGGTGGTGGTGATGCTGGATGCTGCTGATGATTGGGAGGTCGATGGTGATGATGCTCGTTCTGATGCTGATATGGAGGGAGATGAGGAGGAAGGAGGAGGGAGGGCGGGATGGAGGAGGGGGGAAAAGGTGATGGAAGGAACGATGAAAGGAGATTGCATGATGAGGTGGGAGAAGAGGGGGACGAGGATGTGTGTGTGTGTGCGTGTGTGTGTGTGTGTGGGTAAGTGGGTAAGGGGCGGGTGGAGGATGAACGATGTAAGGAGACGGATCCTGGTGCGTATGCTGATGAATATGATGATGGCGATTCTGATGTTTATGATGCTGCTGCTGCTGATGATGATGCTGATGATGATGATGATGCTGATGATGCTGCTGCTGCTGATGATGATGAGGCTGGCGGCGAGCATACTTGGGGTGCTGATGAGGATGTCGGTGATGGTTCTGCTGTTGGTGATGATGGTACTGAGGACGGTGATGAGGTTGATGCTGGTGGTGGTGATGATGGATATGATGGTGACGATGATGGTAGTGACGATACTTGACGATGATGGTGGTGGTCGTGCAAGAGGAGGAGCGTTTGAACGGTGGCAAGGGTGAGGATGATTAGGAGGACGAGGTGTTTGTGTAGGATGGTGATGATGCTGCTGCTGATGATGATGATGATGATGATGAGGAGGGGTAGGATTGGGAGGGAAAGGAGGAGGCAACCAGGAGGAACATGGTAATGAGGAAGCGGAGGGACGGTGAGGAGGGGGAGGAAAAAGGGCAGGAGGAGTTGGGCAGGAGTCACCTTGGAACGATTACGGAAGCTCGTATCAAGCGGCAGGCGGTGCCGGCGGCGCTTCTCAACACTCACGCCAGACGGTGCCATCGGCCTTCCGCTATGGCGCCGTACTGCGGGCTTGCTGGGAACAAACAGTTTCGGCTGCCGTTCGGCCTGGAGGCGTGCGAGCCTGCCAACCAAGTTGGGCGGTTTTCGCGCGCGACGGGCGGCAGCGAGGCGCGCGGCGGCTGGCTGAGCGACGTCCACGCAAGCGGCCGCCATTTGCATTTGCAGCGCGATCTCGAGATCTCAAGGATCTCTACTCGCAGACTCTCCGCAGCCGTCGCGGCCGCGCGCTCGACGCGGCCTGGGCCGAGCTGGCGTGCAAGAGCGTTCGACCAGAGCCAGCCGCCCACGTCGAGGCGCTTCTGGGCCTCCTCACAAAGCAGAGGCCGCTGCTTGCGGTGGCGCGTAAGACAGACCACGCTAGGAACTCGCCGCCTCAGCCAGGCGTTGCTGTCGTCCGCGCGTGTCCAGGACCGCAGGGCCCGCTTCGATCGCATCGACCCGATTCGATGACGATTTCGGTTAGTCCGATCCGATTCGATTCCGATCTCCTGACGACCCGATGCGGCTCGATGCTTGCATGGCGCTGTTGTGCATCCTGGCACGGCCGATTCGATTGGATGTCTACTCAGTGCTGGTGCGGTCCGATCCAATGCACGTTCCCATCCGATTTCCGATTCGATGTTGACTGATCTTGCGAGTGTGAGCGCTCTTGCACTACCCCGCAGACCGCGTGCATTGTGGAAGGAGCCCGCTCGGCTGCGGCGACCAGGGCCGGCGCCCAACTGCCGCGGGCGCAGTGCTCCCGTGATGAGCTCGCTGGAGCCCGAACACGACTGCCCGCGTGGTGCCGTGCCAAGCGCCGCTGAAACTGGACGGGCTCCATTCGGCCACTTGCCAGCCGCGCGGGGGCGTGGCCGAGCGGCGCGCGGGGCCGACGAAGGCCGCGGGCAGCCTCGCTGGGAGCTGGCGCGGCCTGGGAGGTGGCGCGGCTGCGTGCTGCCCTACGGGCAGCGGGCCCTGGCGCGGGACACGGTTCAGGCTCCAGCCGGCGGCCTTGGAGCTCGCCCTCTTGCGCGCCGAGGGCGCCGAGGCCGACGGGCGCCGTGCGGCTGGGCGTGGCCGCCAGGCCGCCAGGCCGCCAGGCCGCCAGCTGCGCTGCCGCGGCGCTCTGCCCCCCTGGCGAGGCGGCCGCCGCCCTGGCGGGGCGGGAGGCGTCGCGCGCCCGCGGCCCCCGCTCGCCGTGCGGGCGGCGGGCCGCCCGGGCGGCAGGGCGAGGCCCTGGTTTGGGCGTGGCTTAATGGGGGGGTCACAAATGGGGGGGTCAGAACAGGTCCCCTTTCGTGCCCCTTTCGGGCCCCTCCAGAGCCCCAGGGGGCTCGTTTAGGTACCATTTGGGTACTTTTTCGGACCACGCTCGCCGCCCCCCCCATTTATGATCCCCCCATTACGTGACGCCCAACTGGTTTCACCAGCCTCGAACTCATCCCCATCCCTAAGATTGGCACGCCAAAAGGCGGTGACAGTCTGAGGGATGCGCCCTGAAAAACGAGGGGAAGCCCCAAGGTTGGCACTGTGATGAGGCGATGCCCAGCTTAGGGATAGGGGTGTGGTCTAGGCTGCTAGTGGTTGCTGCTGCTGTTGACAGCCAGGTCGGGATGTCTCCCGCAGAAGCCGCAGAGGGCGGGGAGCTGACGCGGGCCCACCGCGTACTCGGCCTCGCCTTTCCGCGCGAGCCGGCGAGCCGCCTGCCTCCCACGGAGCGCGCGCGGGCCGGCTCCAGGCGGCTGCGGTGGCGGCGGCTGCGACTGCGCCTTGCCTGGTCTTGCGAGCCCACAGCCAGCAGGAGGGCGCTGGCCAAGGCGCTTGGCTGCCGCGGCGTCGCCAAGGCGCGCGGGCGGGGGCGCGCTGGCCGGCGCCGCCGCCGCCCAGAGTAGCGCCTCCCTCGCGGAGGGAGGGGGGCGTCTCTCAGCGGCGAGAGGCGACGCGGGCGCAAGGTCAGTTGCGGTCAAGTTGCGCAGCAAGGGTTCTGTGCGTTGTCGTTCCCCCACGAATATTTGCCTCTTCGGCCCATCTTTGCACTCGAGCTGACGGCCCCACGTCGCTGCGGTTGTTTCCTGCGTGGATGTCCGTTGTCTTGCGTCCTCCTCCCCCTCCCCATCGTGCGCCCCCCCATCTCCCCCGTCCTTCTTCCCCGTGCTGTCCCCCCTCCGCCTTCTCTTCTCTCCTCCTCCCCGAAGCCGTGCGGGTGGGCGAAGAAATAGGGATAGGCCCCCCTTCCAGGCTGTCTGCACGCGCAGCCTTCTGCCGTGTGCTCGTGCGTGCCTGTGCGTTCGCACCCACTTAAGACCTGCGGTTGCGACTCGTTCGCGCTCGGGCTGTCCTCCTTTCCTCCTCCCTCTCCGCTCCTTGGTGTCTTTCTCCGCCTCCGCGCCCTTCGGTGCGCTTTCTTCTCCCCGTTGGTATCGTCTCCTTTTGCACCCTCCACTGCCCTTCGCCCTCTCCCTTGCCGCTCGAGCCCAAATGGCTCCGTGAACGACGCCGCCGACGACGACGAGGATGAGGAGGAGGATGGGGAAAAGAAGCTGGAGGAGGAGGAGGAGGACGAGGAGGAGGAGGATGAGGAGGAGGAGGAGGAGGGGAGGAAGAACATGGCCAAACCCTAGACGCATCAACGATGCTGCAACACACCCTCCGTCCAAGTACCCTCTTCATGTGCCCCTGGACGATTTTTTCTATTGCGGGAAATCGCCCATCAGAAGACACCGTCTGCGATTCCTCGATCGTGCCAGAACACCGTTCCTGGGACTCCAACGCCGAGGATCAACATGACTGTTGCGTCCTGACAGTCCTACGTCGTACCAGAGCGCCCTTCCTAGGATTTCAGCACCGCGAATCAACGTGACTGCCGCGCCCTTGACAATCCTATCCCTTGCCAGAACACCATTCCTGGGATTCCGACCATACGAATCCTTGAGACCGCTGTAACTGTTCATCCGAACGTGCGCGGCGGGAGAGCGAGAGCTACACATCGAAAGCAGACGCCTTCCATCCTTGAACGTGTTGCGAACGTGTAAGGCGACTGCGCGCGGCGCTGAGGCCAGAGCCCCATTTTGAAACGGAACAGCCCTCCACACGTGTAGCTGCTGCAAACGTTGAAGTCGAAGGTGCGGGGCGCCCAGGCGAGAACGGCATTCTGGAAACCACCTGCCATCCATCCGCGAAGCTGTTGCGAACGTGTAAGGCGACTGTGCGTGGCGCCGAGGCGAGAGAGAGCCACACTGTGAAAACGACCCGCCCTCCGCCCGTCAGATGGTCCAACGTTTTGAGACGAACGCGCGCGGCGCCGAGGCGAGAGCTACACTTTGAAGACGAACCGCCCTCCGTCCGTGAAGCGGTTGCAGCCGTCCAGCTCCAGGGTAATGACTGGCGAGGAGGTCTCCGGCGAAACGCCTGGCCTGCCCTACCGACACGTCTGGAGGTGCGACACGGGGGGGGAGTCGTTCATAATCGCAGGCTTGGAGGTTGACACCAACGCCAACATCGGCGATGTGCCTCCACCGAGGGAAGAAGATCCCGATCTCGGCGACGGTGGTAAGATTTTGGCTTCAAGGTGGCCGACATATGGCCACCAACACCGACATGTAGGATCATCTTCCCCCTGTGGAGGCAGCCCTCTGTGTTGGTGTTGGTGCCCACTTCCAGGCCTCCGGCACGAGGTACCGAGGACGGAGTTCGGAGCACGCCCTGACCCCCCTGGAAGGGCTCAGCCTCCGGCAGACACCCGCTGGAGTCAAGGGCTCCCACGAGGGCGCGAAGTTATTCGCGCTTCGCGCTTCGCGGTCCTCGTTCCTTCTCCCCCTCCTCCTCGTCCTCCTATTCTCCCTTTGGGGGGGCGGCGCGAGGGCGCGAAGTTATTCGCGCTTCGCGCTTCGCGGAGCGCGAAGCGCGAAGTTGGGAGCCCTAGTGGAGTGATCTCGCTGCGCCCCTCGCCAGGAGGCCTCTGGCACGGCGCCGCTGGAAGGCCTGGCGCGAACCGGCTCGGCGACCGCTGGCTTTCCCTTGCTCTTCATGCTCCGCCTCCTCCTCCTCCTCCTCCTCCTCCGTCCCTTCCACTCCTCCTCCTCCTCCTCCTCCTCCTCCTCCTGCTCCTCGTCCTCCTTCCTCTTCTCCTCCTCCTCTTCCTCCTCCTCCTCCTCCTCCTCCTCTTGCCACGGGCGAAGCCGTTCTGGCTCCGGCGTTTTGCCTGCGCTTGCAACTGCGACCTTCAGAACTGTGCTGCAGTTGCGAGTCAATTTGGCTCCATTCGTTATTAACCATTCCGCAGCCGTAGGATACCCTTGGAGCCAGAGGAAACCACCGATGCGAGGCGTCTTTTGGAAGTGCGGGTGTGGCTGCGCAAAGAATACGATCAGCTGGTGGTGGTGCAAGCACTGCAAAGCAACATCTTCAGAGTCGCCCGCGCAGATCGTATATCCCACGCCGGGCGGCATGTCTCGCGATGCTGAAGCTGATGTTCTGGATCGTGAGCTGGCACGCCTGCCTCCCCTTCCACCTGGCCCCGTCGGAGGCCGAATCGGAGGCAGCGGGCCTGCGAGTGCAGGCAGTGCGTGGCCAGCTCTCCCATCTCGCGGCAAGATCGACACCGCCGGCCTCTCGGTGGAAGAGCTGGAGACCCTCAGGGCCATTGGCTCCAAGCAGGGGCAGCACGAGCTGGCGCAGCGCTACCAGAAGTCCAAGAAGGCTCTCGGGCTCAGTGTACGGCCCAAGCAGCACAATCCCACCAGCTTGCACACCCGTGGGTCCCAGGCCCAGTCTGAGATCAAGCAGTTGGAGAAGCGCCTCTTGCGAGAATTGGGCAATCTCGACAAGTGGCTGAACGACGTGCTGGACTTCTGGGGCCACATCAAGTCTTTGTCACACAAGCTTGACGAGCATGAGGGCATGTATAAGAAGCTGGTCATTCAAGTCAAGGGTGAGGTGCAAGCCGAGGACATGGCGGATCCCAAGGTCGCCCCCGCGCTCATCAGTCTCAAGGCCCTTGTGACGGCGACGAGAGCCTGGTCTTGCAGCTGGAGGGTGGAGTGTTCACGGGCATGGACGAGTACGGGTTCACCTCGGAAGATACGAAGCAGTTGGACGAAAGGTAGCAACCGTTGCAGGCGGGCTTCAAGGACCTGGCCAAGAAGTTGCTGGGGTGGGCGGCGGCTGGCTTCCGCCAAGCTCGTGAAGAGCATCGTTCGCGTCTGGCGCGGCTGGCTAAGACGAAGCGCCAGACGAATGGTGGAGCCGTTCCAGGCGCACAGGATGGGCGCGAGGCAGCTGACGCAGGCGGCGGCTCGGGCACGTAGGCGGCTGCGGCGGCTTCTGAGGCTGGCGGCGGAGCCCCAGCCAGAGAGGCACATCCTGAGCTTGGCAAGCAGAGCCCGTCGGTCCCACTTCAGGGGCTAAGCCCCAGGACAGGCTGCGACGCGCGTTGGTGCCGCCAGCCTGTTCCTAGCTCGGCCAGTTCCATCCGCGCTCAGGCGTCCATGGACAGGCCCCATGTGGGCCGAGGTTTTGGCATCGGAAACCATGAGGTCTCCTCTCGGGTTGGCGCCGGTTCCAGTTTTTTCCTTTCTCCAGGCGCGCGTGACCCCGTCCACGGACAGATCTTGTTTTCATTTTGAAACCTGCAATGCCGCGTCGTGGGGGCCGCGCAAGGAGTGGCTGCTCGGGGCCCAGGCCCACGCGGTGGCCACTCAGGAGCACCATCTGGCTAGCGTTACGTCGTGCAATGGAGCGTCGGCGCGGGGCCTTCGCGACGGTTGGAAGGGGATTTTCTCCCCAGCGGCCCCAGGCGCTGGGGAAGGCAGCTCGGGCGGAGTGGCCATTGTTGCTCGTTCCTTCTTAGGCCTGCACCCCCTCCCCAAGGGCAGCTCCGAGCTGACCCCCGCGAGGGCCATCGTTGGCGTTGTGCACTCGCCCAGGGGCCATGAATTCCAGGTCATGTTTTTTCGGTTTATCTGTCATGTTCTGAAGGGCTTTCGGGCAGGGGCGCGGGCATCTTGAGCTCGAATCGGGGGGGCTCAGGAGATCCATGCTCCGGAGATGCCGTGGGCAGGGGGTTCCAACGTGAGCCTTGGCGAGATTTTGAACAGCGGCTTCCTTGAGCGCGTGTCTGGGCAGCCCATCGCGCCGCAGCGTGGCGGGACTTGCCCAGCCACGGGCAGGGTGAGGATGTTCCTTTTTTTCATTGGTACCAAGGGCCTGCGCAAGGCAATCAATGGTATGTCGGTGCTTCGGTCGTCCAAACATCTCCCCTCGTGTGCCCGCGAGACTTCAGCGGCGCGAGAGAGCGGCTACCTTGCGTTGGCGTTTGAACCCCCACCCATCCTTTCGGAGAGGCCTCTTGGGCCCTCTAGGGTTCCCCCCCCATGGAAACGAGTGCCGGGGTTCGGAAGAGCTGCGCTGGAAAAGCCGGTCCTGGGGTCGCACTCTGAGGGTGTTCAGGGCGATCTGCCGCGCTTGCGCCAGATGCGGGGCGAGCTCGCGGAGTGCGAGGTTGCCGAGGTTGCGCGCGCGAAGCTTCCCAGATGCGGCCCGGGAGGCCGCCCTCCCAAGCTGATATGGGCCTCGGTGTTAATGGGCTCCCCCCGGAATCCTATGCGCCCGCGTCTCCATGGGATTGGATGGCTTACCCGCGCGTTTAGGCAAGCGAGATGCGCCGAAATTAGTTCCCCCAGGGTTCACCAGCGTGCTCGCTTCATCGGAGATCCGCCAGGGGATCCTCTAAGTCTTTAGGCCCTCGCGCGGCGTTGCTCGAGCGGTGCCGGACGCGCGTGCCCCCTTCGTCCCCGCGCTAAGCCCAGCCAGGATTCGGACGAAATCATTGTGGGCATTTCTTCGAGGCCGGCCGGCGCCGCCGACGTTTCGCGCGGCGACGTCTGCGCCGACCCTCGCAGCAAAGACTCTCAGGCGGAAGAGGAGGCACCTGGCGAGGCAATCCTCTCAAGCTTGGACCAGGCGTCGGATCTGGGGCAGGCCCGCGCCGAGAGCCAGACCAGTAAACGTTGGATGGGGCGGTTGTTGAGTGAACAAACGTTGGTTGAACAAGAGGGGTGGGGGGGCTCGCGTGGACAAGGGGGCCCGTCGCGGGCTGGGCGGCGCCCGCCACCCTCTCGTCGGTTGGCGCGGTCGTTTCGGATCCCATGGCCCTCCTCAAAAACCAGGCTTCCACCATCTTAATTCTTCTGGAAAACTGAAGCCGAGCAGAATTACCGGCGCTTTTCCCCAGCCATTTCGCCCGGTCCGCCTTCAGAAGTCAGCTTCCCGAGAGAGGTTGGTCTCCAGGAAGTAACTACTCTAGCCGAAGGACGCGTGCGATAGAGACGAACTGCATGTGCGTCATTATTCGTTGGTGACTGACGAGTGTCTCCAAGTGATCTCGATTGTGATTAGCGTCGCGGGATCTACATCGGCTGCCCCAACTGTTGCAGCTAGTGTAGGTCATGCTTGTGCTGGGGCCGAACGGCGACTGGAGGCCCATCGGCGCGTTCTGCTTACTGTGCCGCCTGCGGGGCCGATGCCGCAGGATCTGCGCTCAGCAGTGGGAGGCGATGTTCGCCGGGCCTGCGTCGCGCGATCGCGGCCGAGATGGGGCGCGAGATCTCGTGCGACAAGGCGGCCTTCATCGCGCCCATCAAGGATTCGGATCGCAGGAAAGCTTACTTTCCAGGACCTGGCAGGGGGGCCAACCGACACTGCGATCAACCTAGGCGTCGGCAATACTGCTGTCAGGCCGAGCAGGGCGGCGACAATGATTGAGAAGTCTAGGGTTAGAAGGGCCCACCTCAAGGCTACCGCTAGGAAGCTGGTCGGGCCCCCCTGCGGCCTGGATAGGTACAGAGCGAATCTTGGCTTCTGGGGCCCTGCCGGGGGTTTTGCACGGAGCTGAGGCGCGCGGCATCTCGGATTTCGAGCCGGGCGAAATGCGCGGGGGAGCTGGGGCAGTCATGGGGCCCCGGGCCTCGGGGCGCTCTCTGACTTCCGCCCCCCTCTTCAACGATGGCCCCGCCGGGGGTGGGGGCCGTGGCTCCCATGGCGAGATGCAGCGTGGAAGTTAGGCCTGCCCAGTCCCAATCCTGCCGCCTGCGCTGCCCGGTTTTTTTCTGCCAGTTTGATCTGCCCTGCTGCGATCGATTCTGTTGCGATATCGTTGGGGGCCAGATCAGATCCAAGAAGAGGCCGGCTTTAGCCGAGGGTGCCATCCGCAGCCTCGCGTGCGACGCTCTCTGGGCGCGCAGGAGGGCCGTCGAAGCTGGCTTTCTGTTGGCCGATGATTGATGTGCGATGTGCGGGCAAAGAGGAGACGCCCCGTTCCATGGGCTCTGGGAATGTCGGAACTTTGCGTGCACGCACGCTGGTCTGATCGATCGTGATATCTTGAAAGCGGCTGCCGCCGTGGATCCGGTTGACCCCTTCGCGACCTCGCTGTTCCGCCGCGGTTTGTTTCCTCGCCCTGGGGGCGCGTTTCCGAGAGCTGCGGCCGATGACTCCGGCGCTCGGGCCGTCGAGGTCTGGCTCGTCCCCCCCCCCCCCCGCGATGGCAGTTTCAGCTGGTCCATCTTTGTAGGCGGGTGCCGTTTTGGGCATCGGGTAGATGAGCTCTCCAGGGAGGGGGCGTGCTTCCCCTGGTCGGTCCGAGCGGCCAGGAAATATGCGCGATTTATGCTCTTGTCTCTGCCCCATTCCAGCAGACCCCTCAGGTTGGCGAGTTCGCCGCGCTGGCAAGGGCTGGGACGGGTGTGGCCAGTGAGTCCTCGGGTTTCAGCGTATGTAAGAGTGTTGTGGACCTTGCCCATGCCCCGAGAGAACTGCCATTTTCGTATAAACGACCCTGCGAAGGCCTGATGATATTATGCGATGTGCAAGTCCCTGCCGTCTCTGATGTGTCAAAGGTTAAGGCCCGCGTTGACCCTGGCGAGGTAGGCATCTCGCAGGATGACAGATGGCGCAGACTAGGTAACCGGGCCGCGGACCGAGCGGCCAAGGTTTGAGCTATCCTGCGCCCCGGGGCGTCTGAGTAATATCAACAGGCCCACGAGTTTGCGCGCGCGTGGCCAGGGCGGTTTGCGTGCTCGCTGGCAACACCCCTCACACGCTTCGTGGCCCCATAGGGGGCTCCTCCTAAGGTCCCAGTGGCGGAACTCGCATGCGGTACCCACACCCATTTTGGCACACCCCTCACACGTTTCGTGGCCCCATAGGGAGCCGCACCGAAGGCCCTAGTGGGGGTGCCAGGACCCAACACCACGAGCCATGAGGGGCGCCAGTGGCAGCTTCCTTCATGGCTCTCAGAGCCCTCTCCTGCTTCTGCTCCTCGGTCAGAGGGGGCGCCGTCCTCGTCGTCGTCGGCGCCCGCGAAGACGGCCGCGAACGTGTCCTTGAGCATGCCGGGCTCCGGCGGGAAGCCGTGGCCACGTAGGGAGCGTGGGCGAAGATGGTATTCACAATTGCGGTAGTCACAAATGCGTATGGTTGGGTTTTTCACCAGGTCAATTTTTGTGGCTACTTTGAATGGTTCCTCCAACATCCGCCTGCAGGGGGACATGCCCGACCTGAGCGTAGGGGCATACACTTTTCAGCCGCCTGGGGGCGCAGGCGCCCCCGACGGCGCAACAGCTCGTGCTGTGCGGCTCTTCACCCGCCCGGGCTCCTCTTCCTCCTCCTCCTCCTCCTTCTCCTCCTCCTCCTCCCTCCTCCTCCTCCTCCTCCTCCTCCTCCTCCTCCCTGCTCTGCGCCTGCTCTGCCCCGCGCTCCGAAGCCGCAGCCCGCGGAGGCTGGGACACCTCCAGCGCGAGCGACGCCGACGGCGTCGGGGAGTGCCGGGCCCTCGGGGGCGCGGGCAGGGGCCGGCTGCGCGCCGGAAGTCAGGCAGTGGCGAAGCGTCTTGGCTCGCCCATAGCCCCACCAAACAATGTTCTGAGAATCCTTTTGTGGTTCCCACGAAATGTTCATAGAACATTTCTGGCGGAGTCTGTCTTGTTTTAACACATCGGGTTTATGTTCTTAGAACATTGTTTTTGTTATTCGAACATTTTTGGGCTCTAAGAAAATTTCGTGGTAGGACTATAGAAATGCTGGGACGGTCGGTCCCTGCTCAAAAGTGGCCTTTCGTCGGGGTGGCCCGTTGGTGTGGGCCCCCCCGGGGCTTGGCATCGCGCGGACGTGCGTGTGAACTCTTTTCGGCGGGGGCCATCGAGGGACATCTTGGATCGTCCTCTTGTTCAACGCACGAATCAAAGAAAGACGCGTGGAATCGACGTCCGAAGGATGGCCAGAGGGGGTCCCCAGCATGGCCCGAGCGCGATGCGAGATAGCGGCGGCTTGCCCGCTTGGCTGTGACCCCGCCCCGCGTCCTCTTTGAAGACCCCGAGCCAAAGGTCACTCTTTGCCCAGTTCTCGGCTTGTAGCCGAACTAAGGCTGGATGAGCCTCGTATGACGCTCCTCCTCCTCCTCCTCCTCTCCTTCTCCTTCTGCTTCTCCTTCGCCTCCTCGTTTCGCTCATTCGGTACGGTCGTTACTCCTCCTCCCCTCCTCATTTGGCTACCCTAGATCAGGTGCCCGTAGCTGCGGCAGTCTGCTTGGCGCAACTTTCGCCTTTTGAGTCGAAGAGCTCCTCTGAGGGCACCGGCATGACAACACAGTGGGTCTGCTTCAGGGTCGCAGTGCGCATCCCGCCGATGCCGTCCTGCTGCTCATTACGCAGCTCAGTGTCGTAAATAGATGCTGGCGACGTTGTTGGCGACTCTCTGCAGATTGCCGTGTTTCCAGTCAGTACGCCGCAGATGCCGGTCCAAGTCATGCCCTTGCCAGGCCGGTCGTTATTGAAGGCATGCATCATGCTCATCGCAGCGTTTACTATTCGGGATATGTCCTGGGCCCTGCCTTCATCCCTCGCCTCATGCTTCATCCCTCGTCTCATGAAATACAGTCAGAACTCATGTGAAGGGCGCGCGGGTGTCCTCAGGGTACCCTGGCGTCCTTGCCTCTGCGGCCCGCCCTTCGTGGTGTCCACTGGCCAGCCCTTCAGGGTGTTTGCAGTCCGCCGCCCAAGAAGTGCCAACTCCGGCGTCCAAGGCCCTTGCGTCCTTACCGCCCGTCCTTATTATATATATATATATATACAAATATATGTGTATATGTGTATATGTGTATATATTGACTGTACAGAGGAGCATCTGATTAAGACACCTCCTCCCGAGTAGCGGGATCAGCGTCTCTGGACTCTCTCGCCATAGCGCTGGACCAGTTTTTGGAGCGCGCGTTCGCCCCGCCAGCGTCCACAGCAGAAGGGGGCCCTGGGCGTGCTGGAAGAATCTTCCCAGAGGCTGGCCCAGGTTTCTGAAGTGAAGACGTTCTAGGCCTCCCAGATGGGGTCCGAGCAGATGGGGCCGGAGGATCGCGCCGCATCGCCGATGCATCGGCGATGTGGCTCGATGTGGGGCCCGACGTGCTTCACTTCGACGTCACCGATGCATCGCCGATGCATCGTCGATGCAGCGCGATCCTTCGACCCCACCTGGTCGGACCCCACGCAGGAGGCCTCCAGGCGTGCTCTCGACCTCATCGTCGGCTGCAGCCCGCTGGGCAGGCCGAGGCGCGCGGTGGCCTGGGCCTCCTAGGGGCCCGCGCGGTGTCCGCGCCGCGCTCGGCGTCCGCGTCACGGCCCACGCTGGGCGGCACGCGTCGCACCAAGGGTCCTCGAGTAAACACTTGACAACTCCGAGCATCGGCGGCGAGCGAGGGGGGGACACGGGCAGGAGACGGCCTTCTCAGGCGGCGCTCGGACTCCTCGGCAGCCCTCGCGCCCTCCGAGAAGCTCGCCGTGCCCGCGGGGGAAGGCCCAGCGGACTGCTCAGCGGGCCGGGGGGGGACCTCCCCGCCCTCCGAGCAGGCCTTCCTCAGGGGGCCACATGCGAGCCCTACCCCTACCCCCCACGGTTTCTGAGGGGGAGGGTGGGGCTCACTTCGCTCGGGAGCTCCCGAGCGAGGTGAACCCACCCTCTCCCCTCAGAAATCGTGGGGGGTAGGGGTAGGGTTTGCATGTGGCCCCCTAGAGGTTCCGAGGCGGACCACCGCCCGAAGAATTGATCTTCGGGGACCTCGGTAGGCGGTGGATGTGGGCATGCATTCGGGCCCCCCCCCGGGGCCCAAGTATGTCCATGTCCACCGCCCGCCGGGGCACCCCGTGGGTTCCCCGGCGGTGGATGTGGAGAAATCCCCGCCTCGCAGAAGTGCTCGGTATCGCTCGGACGTGTGCATTGTGTCTCGGCGAGGACCATCGAGTTGGGTAGCAAATCATGGGAGCCTGGGGTTCCATCTCAATTCCGCCTTGAGCGTCGATCAGCGTTGACTAGCGTCTGGGAGTCGATGGGATGTGCCGATGCAGCGTCGGTCAGCGCCGATTAGCGTCGCTTAGTCTCGATTTCGCGTCCATTAGCTTCGACTAGCGTCGATTAGCGTCGATTCGCAAGAGCCGACAAGATGGTATGGGAGGCTCTCACGAGTTGCCACCGAAGTCGAGGAGCATCTTGACCTATCCTGTAACACAAAGACATGCACGACATGGAACAGTGCACGGGGAATGGACGTCCGAGCGATGGCGAGTTTATTGTGAAATCCGGAGTACGTGCTCACCCGTCGTTGAAAGTAGGTAGTTTGGGATTCTCAGGTTTCAATTCTCTTTTAGGCGCCTCCCTACTTCAATGATCGAGTGGCTTCACCTTTTCCGTCCTCTTTAGGGGGCGGGCGGACACCCAATCTACTTTCAACGCCTTCCTACTTCATGTTTCTACCTACTTCTTCCGACCGATGGGTGCACAGCTGCTGGGCCCAGGAAGGGCCCAGCTGGCAGGAAGTGGACCTGTGTGCAGAAGTCGTCGCCCGAGCCGTGTCGGGGGCGGGCGGTCCGGGCGGTCCACGCCCCGCCCTGCCGGGCAGCGGCTCCTCTCTCCTGCTGCTTACGGTGCCGCCCACGCCTGTACCCCGTGTTGTTTCTGGTTCATCGGGCGTTTCGCTGAACCATTCTCACATGCTAACGAAGTTTTAAAGAAACACGCTGAAGGACCACAAGGGGGACCCCGACCAGAGCCATGGCAGTCGTACCCTCCAGCGTTGGGCACTCGTTTTGAATTGAACACTGCTTGCTCCGTCCTTCTCCCGCCTTCCATCCTCATTTCTTCTCTCCTACTGCTTGCTACCCTGCCTCCTATCTAGTCGTCCTGCCTGGATGCTCGATGGGGGGTTGCGATCTGCCAAACTGTCGCCACTTTCGAAGGCTGCTGGGGGGTCCAGCGCAGTGACGTCTTACCGAAATTCACATGAAGCCTCGCCAGCCCTGCTGGGCTGCGATCTGCGAAGCTGTCGCCACTTCCGAGGGCTGCTGTGGGGTCCAGCGGAGTGACGTCTTACCCAACTTTACATGAAGACTCGCCAGCCCTGCGGGGCTGCGATCTGCGAAGCTGTCGCCACTTTCGAGGGCTGCTGTGGGGTCCAACGGAGTGACGTCCTACCCATATTCACATGAAGCCTCGCCAGCCCTGCGGGGCTGCGATCTGCGAAGCTGTCGCCACTTGCGAGGGCTGCTGGGGGGTCCAGCGGAGTGGCGTCTTACCCATCTTCAAATTCGTCCTCTCCAGCCTCGTGGGGCTGCGATCTGCGAAGCTGTCGCCACGTTCGAGGCCTGCTGGGGGGGGGTCCAGCGGAGCGACATCTTACCCAGATGTAGATCCGATCTCGCCATGCCTCGGCGGGCTGCGCCCTGTGTGAAACTGTCGCCAGTTTCGAGGGCTGCCGTGGGGTCCAGCGGAGCGACGTCTTGCGCGGACCACCGGGAGACCTCGCCATCCCTGGGGGGCTGCGAAGCTGGCGGGCGAGCTGGGCTTCGCTCGCTTCTGGCACTGCATATACTCAGATGTAATGCTTGTTGTCGAGCGCCGCGGCGACATGGCGCAGGCAACGCTGCATCTTTAGCGTACTACCGGCAAACGCGGCACTCTTCGGTCTCCTCCCGCCACTTTCGTCGTCGTCCTCTGCCCCCTGCCCCCTTCCTGATGCTGCCGCGCTGGCGTTTCGCCCGCCCCCCCCACACGCGTCCTTCTCCTGCCCTGCGTTCCCACCCCATGTCCTCCTGAAGCCTGGGCCTTCGCTCCTGGCCCTTCTGTTCTTGTCTTTGTGAATCGCGCCAGGTGGGCGCATCCCATGCAGCTTGCACAACGTATAACGGCGCCATCACCGTCATTGTCTCGGCCAGTTCGGGCCAGCTCCCCTGGGCACTTGATGTAAGCGGGTCGGGTACGACACAGGGTAATTGTTGGCCCGCAACTTTGACAGAAAAGCCGACGACACCACCCCACCTACGGCCCGCCATGTTGCGCTACGGTCCATCGGGGGCCGAGGCGTATACCACGCAAAAGCCCAAACCAGAGTGTCGTAGGTTGGGTGGACCCTGCTTGCAAATGAGCAGACTGCGTGGGGCGCGGCGAGATGCGCGCTTGACGCCTCTCGTGACGCGAGGTGCGAAGCCAAGTGGCCTGATGGATGAGTTGAGGTTAGCGGCAGCAGCACCAACAGGTTGAGGCGGTGGGTTTTGGGGGGAAGGATGGAGCGGAGGGAGGAGGGAAGGGGGATATACATACATACATACGTACGCATACATTTGTACACACATACGGACATACACGCACGTACATACTTGTATACAAATGTGTACGTGTATCGGTGATTGGGGGGTGAGATCGCAGTGAAACGCAGACCCCCCACTGGGAAATTGGTTTCGGTTTCGGTTTCGTGTTTGTGTCGTGCGTGCGGGCGAGGCGAAGCTGCGCGTGATCCTCCTGTAGCTAGGCCGAAGTAGGAGCGAAAATCCGTCGCCCAGCAGCCAGTGGCGGGTTGGGCTGGGCGGTGTCCCCGGTCTCCCGGGTGTCAGTAAGGGAAAGTCCGTTTCCCGTCCGCCGGTGGCTGGGAGGTGTCCCAGTTGGGCTGGGCGGTGTCCCGGGTGTCCCGGGCGTTCCGGCGTTAACGCATGTCGCTAATTTCATAATTCATTTTTTTCCGTGCCTGCGGCGGGCTTTCTTATCCAATCCAGCTTATACTATCCCAAGCCAATCCAATTCACCCAACCCAATCCATCAATTCATTTGTTTCTGCGCCTGCGGCGGGCCAATTCAATTTATTTTCTCCTTTCCAATCCATTTCTTCCAATCCAAACCACCTTATCTGATCCAATCCATCTTATCCCATCCAATGCAATCCACCCAGCCCAATCCATCAATTCATTTTCGTCGGCGCCTGCGGCGGGCTTCCTTATCCAATCCAGCGTATCTGATCAAATCCATGTTGTCCTATCCAATACATCAATACATCTTATCTTATCCAACATATCTTGTCCCATCTTATCTTATCCCACCCAATCAAATCAAGATATGGGATCAAGGTGACAGGCTGGAAGTCAGTCAGGGTGGGCATTTGATTTCAATTCCCCCCACCTTCTTCTCGCCCGCAGGGCGGTCGTATAGGTACACATATCGGAGGTTGTGGGGTGAGATCGCAATGAAACGGGGTCCCCCCACCGTGAAATCGGTTTCGGTTTCGTGCTCGTGTCGTGCGTGCGGGCGAGGCGAAGCTGCGCGTGATCCTCCTGCCTGTAGCTGGGCCGAAGTAGGAGCGAAAGTCCGTCGCCCAGCAGCTGGTGGCTGGTTGGGCTGGGCGGTGTCCCAGGTGTCCCGGGTGTCAGTAGGAGCGAAAGTCCGTTTCCCGTCCGCCGGTGGCTGGGAGGTGTCCCAGTTGGGCCGGGCGGTGTCCCGGGTATGCCGGTTGTCCCGGGCGTCCCGGCGCTAACGCATGTCGTTAATTTCATAATTCATTTTTTTTGGCGCCTGCGGCGGGCTTTCTTATCCAATCCAGCTTATCTTCTCCAATCCATCTTGCCTAATCCAATCCATCTTTTCTTATCCAACAACCCACCTTGTCCCAGCTTATCTTATCCCACCCAATCCAACCCACCCAACCCATTCCATCAATTCATTTGTTTTCTGCGCCTGCGGCGGAATCCATCTTATCTTATCCAATCCATTTTTCCCAATCCAACCCACCTTATCTTATCAAATCCATCTTATCCCATCCAATCCAATCCACCCAACCCAATCCATCAATTCATTTTTGTCGGCGCCTGCGGCGGGCTTCGTTATCCAATCCAGCGTATCTGATCAAATCCATGTTGTCCTATCAAATACATTTCATATTATCCCATCTTGTCCCATCTTATCTTATCCCACCCAATCTAATCAAGCAATGAGATCAAGGTGACAGGCTGGATGTCAGTCAGGGTGGGCATTTGATCTCAATCCCCCCCCCAACCTCCTTATCGCCCGCAGGGTGGTTGTATATATATAGAGAGAGAGAGAGAGAGAGAGAGAGAGAGAGAGAGAGAGAGAGAGAGAGAGAGAGAGAGAGAGAGAGAGAGAGAGAGAGAGAGAGAGAGAGAGATAGAGAGAGAGATAGAGAGAGAGAGAGAGAGAGAGAGAGAGAGAGAGAAAGAGAGAGAGAGAGAGAGAAAGAGAGAGAGAGAGAGGAGAAGAGAGAGGGAGAGAGGGAGAGAGGGAGAGAGGGAGAGAGTGGGAGGGGTAATGAGAAGGGGACTGGGGGTTAACACGGGGAGGGCAGGATGGGAGAGTTGGAATCCACTGCCCCTCTGTTATGAGGCCGTTGTATAGGAGAGGGAACAGAGGGCAGAGTGTTTACACAGTTTTGAGGAATTAGTGAATTCAGTATGGGTCCGGCTTGAAGTGCCTCGAAGAAAGCGCGCGCACCCGAATCGCAGACATATGGCTATATGCGGACCCAGGACACTTTGCTTCCCGTCGTCGTCCTCGCCCTTGCTCCGTTCCCCTTCCTTTCCTCCCTCCCCCGGATGGTGTCGAAAGCGTCCGCGGCTCGGGCGGGGGAGAGCCCCTTCCCACCTCCCTTATTATTCCTCGTTCCTCTTTGCCTCCCTGCTCCACCATCCGTCGTCCTACCTCGTCCACCCTCCTTGTTCGAAAAGTGAAGTCCCTGGCGCCGCGTGCCCGCGTCAGCGGTAAATGCTTTTTCGATATCCGAGCACAGCGGCGCAACCAAACAGAGGGGATTGCCAATGCGAGATTTCGGGGCGCACCCAAAATGCGGGCGGCACGGCCGCCGAGCACAGTCGCATCGCTAACATGTAAATTATAGATGCCTGCGGCAAGGTCCGCCCCCCTGGCCGCAGCAGTGATCTATATGGCGACGCGTGGAGCTTTGACTGTTAAGAGGTCCTTGACATGTGACATCTCTCGTGTTTTCGGATTGCTGCGCGGCATTCTTCGGGGTCCTTCGAGGCCTTTTTGGGACGTCTTCGTGCCGTTGGGGGCCGCTTTGGCGCCGCGTTGCACCGCGGCCGCCCTGGGCCAGGGGAGCGTGCATTTGCGGTTCTCTCGGGGGCGCCCTGGGCCGGGGAAGTGTGTATTTGCACCCCCCCCCCAGCTGGGCATGTCGACCCCGGTTCTGGGTTGGCAAAGTCGGGGCGCCCTCGAGGTGGCGAGCGTTCACCTTTTCGAAATACACAGATCAAGGTGTGATCTGTGTACACAGTTTGTGTCTTCAACTGTGTATTTTCGTGTGTGGGCCCGCTGTTTACACAGATCGTGGTGTGATCTGTGTACGCAGATTTCGTTCCCATCTGTGTATTTGGAGTGTGCCCCTCGCGGGTGGTGTTGAATGGACGGGAACTTTCGCGTTTCTCTTCCGGCTGGTCCAGGGGCGGCGTCGTGCGCGGTCGAAGTACACAGCTCGTGTCTCCAACTGTGCATTTGTTGCGCGCCTCTCGCTGGAGTGGTCACTGGGCGGGAGTTTCCGCGGGTTTCCTGGCTGGTCCAGGAGGGGGCCGTGGTCTGGGCATGCAAAGGCGCGGGGGGGTGGGGATGGTGGGCTGTGGGAAGGAAGGGGTTCGATAGGAGGGGTGGCCGAGGGGCCAAGGATGAACGGGACTGGACGAGAGCGGAGGAAGAGAGCCCAGGAGGATTTGCATCATCGGCGTCAGCATCACGAGGACGAGGGAGGTGGGGGAGGGCAGAAAGTGGGGGCATGATGTGCACTAGGGCGTAGAGGATGGGAGGAGGGCAGGCATGTGGACGATGGGGGAACGAATCCGGCGCAGGAGGACGACGAGGAACGACGTGAATTGACACATGGGGGGGGCAGTGTAGATGAAGGGCATGATGAGGACCGGGGCAATCGGAGGGGCATGAGGAGGGTGGGGCCGCAGCGAAGGGATATTTGGAAAAGGCGGGGGATTGCATGAGTTCGAGGCGGGCGCCAGCTAACGATTACTTGAACAGTGTTTTGCGTGTCCGCGCACCCCCAGAGCACAGTGACTGGTTGCAGAACTTCATGATCTGGGTAATCGTGCGCTTCGTGCTTCCAGGCCAAAGGCTCGAGTCCGCGACGCCCGTTGGCGTCGCGATGATGCCACCCCGATCTGCCAGACCGCATATGCACAGATACGCAGAATATGTGTTGCAACGTTTGTTGCATGACCCTCTGTATATTAACAGACCCACGTTGGAACCCAATGGGAGAGGGTGGTAGTGTGAAGCGGAGAGGGGAGGACACATGGTGGCACAGAGACTTAGGATGATCGGCGCGCTTGGGCACTCTTGTCACTCCTCGCGCAAGAGGCCACAATAAAAGGACGTCTGTGCCTTAAGTTGACCTCCGAAGCTTTCACCAGTCGCTACACTAGGCCGTGCGTTTCATACGTCTCCGGTGATGCTGCAGGTTTTGTTGCACTCTCTGCACCGCGTTTCGTAAGCCAGCACGCCCGTTCATTCGTTGTGATGTTGTCGCGTGCTCTCTTTTGACCTTGCGAATTTTGATCCGCACGTTCGAGATCGTATCATCTCCCGCCAGCGAATTTGAGTTCGACTGTACGCTCGCTTCTGCACTGGCGCCACGCGTCGGCAGAACGGCTAAGGTATTGAGTATGTGCGCACTCATCAGCAAGCCTGCATGTGTCATCTTTCTGCTTGCTCCTCCTTCCCGTCCTCCTCCACCAGCGCCAAGGCCTAGCGGACCGCGCGGCGTTCTGCACCGCTGCACACAGGCAGTTGCTGGCAGACGTGGACGAGGGGTTCGGCGGCATGAAGGCCACCCGGGCTTCTGGCTCGTTCCCGCTTTGGCAGGGCTCCCGTGGGCGTTTTTGGGCGGCTTCTCGAAGGCTCTGGCCCCCCTCCCCTTCTCCCTTGCTCCTCGCCCGTCCCCGCGGCGGTGCCTCGCCGACGGCCTGGTGCGGAGGCCTCCTCAGGCCAGACGCGAGGCCGAAGAGGTGAGCGGCGGTGCTCAGGAGACGGGGGTCAATGCAAACGAGGGTCAGTCAGAGCTCTTGCAGGATCTTGCAGGGCCAGGGGTGCAGTGACCCGGGCTTGGGTGCAGGATCCTGCAGGACCCTTCAGGATTTTGCAGGATCCTGCAAGGCCCGACGGACCCGGGTCTGGATTGACCCGGGTCAGCTGATCCCCGATGAGCGGGTGGGTCCGCGGTTCCTGCTTTTTGCTGGGTCAGGGTCTCGGCTGGGTCCAGCATGCGTCGGCGGCGCGCCTAGGGTTAAGCCAGGCCTGTCCCTCTACAGGATGAATATTCAAAAATAGGAAATCAATAATCAGGGGACGTTTTTCCTATCATTCCTGATTCTGATTTTGGGGTATATGGGGATTCTTTAAGATTTGTCCTCCGAATTCCCCCTGCAGGAGGACCTGCCCGACCTAAGCCCAGGTAGAAACGCATAGGGGGCGGGCGTGCTCGGAAGGCTCAGGAGGCCTCCGGCCTTTCCGGGAAATTTGCCGGGCTTCCCTCCGAAGCCACGGGGGGCTTCTCAGGAGGCCAGAGGACGCTTCTGAGGAGTCCCGCCGCCTTCTGAGGAGGTCTGCCCCCTCTCACTTCCCCCATCGGCGCGCCGCCGGATCAGAGGGCAGGGCGTCGACGTCCAGCCCCTCAGAATCGACCATGGACGAAGGCATGCTGCCCATGGGCGGGCATGATGGCCTTGGTTGCGGGTGGTCCTGGCTTGGCCGATTTCCGCATTCGGGCTGCGGGTCGCGATGCGAGCGGGCACCCAAGCACTGATACGTCAATGTTTCACGGCACTTTGGACAGAGGGGTATTTGCATCCATGAAGTGTTGTGCTCGGCAGAGACACGATTTCGCTCGTGCTTGCGACAGCTTTACATTGCGACCGCCTTCAGAGAGCAGCCGTTTCTCTCACTGGGGAGCCCTAGTCGGGTTCGTGGGGCAAGCTGTGGCTCCATAGGATCTAAAGACCCATGGCGTCTTGCCGTCCTGCCACGTCCAACAGTGCAGACGCATCTGCTGGTGGAGGCGGAGGGGCACGGCGTGCCATTCAGAGCTTCAGGATCGTGGCTACCTTTGGGCATCTGTTCTGATCGTGCCCCTCCCCCCCCCACAGAAGCATACCACGAATGCTGTCTTTGGCGTCGCGTGTTGGGGGGGCGATGCAGGTAGGGCGGCAGGGCTGCAGAAAAAGGAACCTTCTAGGGTCCCTCAAGGGGCACTTTGGGTCCACAAGGGAGCTTGTAGGGCCCGAGAAGTGCACCTTTCTCCCCCCCTCCCCATGCATCGTCCCCCCCGCACTGAGCGACGCCCAGCTGTCGGGGAGCGCTCGTGCTCCATCGAGAGACGAATTCTATGCACATCCACTGCTCCCTGTCCAGGCCCCCCTGAACCCAGGAGCTATGTATACGCCGTCCTGGCCAAGCCAGGAGGGCGTGGCGTATGCGCCGTTGCTGGGCTCAGGATGGGCCTGGCCAGGGAGCAGCGGCGGATGTGTATAGGTTTCGTCGCCCTACGTTTAAGTCGGGCATGTGTCTCTCCAGGAGGAAGATTCAAACATAGTCAACACATCGCCTGGGGATGTATTTTTTGTAACAGCTGTATGGATTTTGATGTTGTGATTTTGCTTGCATTTTTAAAAGAAAGCGAATTCGTCTATAACCCGCCTGTAGGAGGACACGCCCGACCTAACCCTACTTCTTCGCCCTCGCTCTTCCTCGATCGGCGCAGGCGGCCGCCCGCCGCCCAGAAGTGGAGTACGGGTGAGGCACAGGAGTTTTGCTCGCGAAGTGGTGGGTGCCCTCCGCGAAGAAGTGTGATAGAAAACAAGTGTGATAAGCAACGGAACAATTGTGAACAAAACAACGAGTGTGATAAATAACAAGTGTGATAATCAAACCTTGCAAAAAAAACAACAACCGTGAACAAAGCAAGTGTGATATAACAGCTGGCAGCACGTGGCTTTGACGTCAGCTGCGCCCTCCACTCCTGTCTTCCTCGAACCTTTTCCCCTTTCATTTCAGAGGAAGGGAAGGTACCCATATCGCTAGTTTTCTGCCGCCTCCCCCCTTTTCGGCCTGATGGGAGGCCCTCGTCGCCACCGCCAGATTCGCCTCGAAATCCTACCAGTCAGGAAAGCATCCCGGGAGAGGTCCGGGGAGCAGCGGTAACGGAACCTTTCTTCGACTACACGTAAGAGTGACCCTTCGCCGGAGTGACCTTTGGTGCGGGCCCTAATGGGGTCCCCAATCGCCGAGCGCGATGCGGTAGTAGCGCCTTGCGCGCTCGTGTTTGGTCCCCCCGCGGCCCCTCCAAGGCCGCGCACCAAAGGTCACTCTTACCCAGGATCCCTATTGCGTGTGTCTGGGCCTCCTAGATGGGGTCGGAGTAGATGGGGTCCGAGGATCGCTCACCATCGACGATGCATCGCCGATGCGGCTCGATGCGGAGCCCGATTTGCTTCAAGTCCACGTCGCCGATGCATCGCCGACGTCGACGATGCGTCGCCAGTGCATCCCGTATGCATCGCCGACGCATCGCCGATGCATCGGCGATGCGGCGAGATCCTCCGAGCCCATCTACTCGGACCTCATCTAGGAGGCCTGCAGTGTAGTCGACTCTTGGTGTCCTCGTCTCTTCTCTCCGTCTATCGAAGAAGAGCCAGTGGCCCCCGGAAGCCCGTCGAGGCTGCGGCGGTGTGGCCGCTGGCGCCCCTGGGGCCGCTCTGGGCCGGGGTTCTGCCAGGGTCTGCGCGTGCCCCCTCCTGTGGGTGCGGAAGCACGGCCTGCTCCAGCGCCCTCGAGGCACTTGGGCAGTTGCTGGATTGTCTGGCACGCTGGCAGTCTGACGCCCCCCCGGCTGGGGAGGAATCGAAGGGAAGGGGCTTCCCTTCGATTCGACTACGACATTCAGGTGATCGCAAGCATGGATCAAGGGGGTGTGGATTAGCGACGGGTCTTGCTTCCATGGGAACTCGCGGATCTCCGCCGCCGAGCAAGGCGGCACCGGCCGCATTTTGGGGAGGGCACCTCCCCCGATCCATGGATTTGGCCACCGCGCGCCAAATCCATGGATCGCTGATCCATGCTTGAGCGCCCCCGAGACATTGCGAGGTTTTCACCTCGCTGACGGGCCTGAGGAGGGTGCAGGGAAAGGGGACGACGCAGACGACGACTGACGGAGACGACGACTCGAACAGACAAACGCCTCGCGTACGCCGACAGGGTCGGCAGAATTATGTCCATGTCCAGTGCGTTTTGGACTTTCTCGGAGAGGAGCGCCGCAGGGCCGAGGCGCACCGGATATGGATACACATGGCCTCCGGGGGCCCGATGCTCATCCCTATCCAGTGCGCCCTGGGGCTTCTGGGGAAAATCTGAGCGTGGATTACCTACCCCGCTTTCGCTTCCAGACAAAACCAAGTCATACCACGCGCCTCCTGGTCAAGCGACCTGACTGGTGCGGACCGTAGCCTGGTATCGTTTGGTATCGTTTGGAAGCGAGGGTGGTCAAAAGCGAGGTAGGTTCGTTTGCCTCCTAGAAGCGAGAGCCCCAGAAACTCCGAGCTTCGGTGGCTATGGACACCAGTCTTGCCCGCAGCCAGCAGTCCGACTCGTGCACCTGCACTCGGATGCAAGTCCTGGGAGGTCCAAGTCTGCCTCTGCCCTGGTCCGAAATCCGGCTCAGTCCGGTTGATTCCCGCTCAATCTGGTTTGACCCAGTTCAATTCAGCTCAATCCGCGGCTTACAGGGTCCGGCTTGAATAAGGAATACTTACTTTTCAAAAGGGGTTCGGTCGTTCCTTTGGTTTGCATGCGTTCCGCTGCCTTTTCTTGCGGCGAGCCCCCCTGGTGTTCCTTCGGACTTCCTAGACTCACTTGGAACAAAAAAGGGGCAGCGTTCCTTATCTGTCGTTCCTTAGGTCAAGCCGAATACTGTAGTCCAGCGTAGTAGCCCCCCAATAGTGCTTCATCGCCCTTGCTCACTCCGACGACGACCTCCCAGCAGTTGCCCCCCAAAACCTGCAGGGCCCCGCCGCCGCCGAACCCCCCCCGTCACGAGGCCGTCCTCCGCTCCCTGCGCGGCGTGAAGGGGCGGCTGCGGGGCGAGTACGAGAAGGCCTTCGTGCCGCAGTCGCTGCCCGAGGCCCGCGGCCGCCAGGGCGGGGCATGCGCGCCGGCACGTGCGCGGGGGCGCTCTGCTGGGGTGAGGTCGGGCACGTCCTCCTATTATCACCAGCCTCGAACGTATCCCTGTCCCTGAGATTCACACGCCAAAAGTCGAGGAGGACAATCTTAGGGATGCGCGCTGAAGAACTAAGGGAATCCCTAAGATTGGCATTGTGTTGAGGCGATGCCCGGCTTAGGGATAGGGATATGTTCCAGGCTGGTAATATTATGTTCGATCAGGGACCACTTCTTAGCGCGTAAAATCCGGCTTTCGCACCGATGACCGCGCCGCCGAAGACCGTGTGGGGCCGCCGCCCAGACCGCCGAAGACCGCCGGAAGACGGCCGAAAGCCGCCGAAAGACCGCCGAAGACCGCCGAAGACCGCCAAAGACCGCCGAAAGACAGGTAAAGACCGCCGAAGACTGTGTCGGGCCCCAGCGGGTGCGTCAGAGGCCGAGATGCGTGGCGAGGGGTCCAAGATCGAACGCGTAGCTTCTACAGGAAGATTATTCAAACCTAATCCGAAAACATTCAGGGGACGAGCTCCGAGTTTGTTTGCCTACTTTGTGGTTGTTGTTGTTGTTGCTGCTGCTGCTGCTGCTGTTGTTGAACATTATTTATTCTAAAGAATAATTATTGTTGGGCCCCCTGGTGCGCGCCCCCCCTGCGCCGCCTAGGCCGCAGCTACATTTTCATCATTTTCGTGAGGAAGCCTCAGAAAAGAGGGTGTGTACAGGATCCGGTTGTTTTGTTGTAATCCGCTTTCCCTTGCAAAAAACAATAGAAAATGACATTTCTTGTTCTAATATAATCAAATTTCAAGAATCCCTTGCAAAAAATAAGGTAAAGTGGACATTCGCGCGCGCAAGACGAAATCCTTCCAAAACCTTAGTGTTCGCAGCGATTTTAACATAAAAACATCAAAAAACCAATGGTTTTTCAACAAAAAAATGTCAAAATCTCATCCCGCGCGCTCTTGCGGATTCGTAGGAAACCCAACACTTTTTAAACATTTCTGTCAAACGGGCTTTTGCGAGCAACTTTTTCGAACTTCTGCGACAACGGTTGCGCACCTGCCAGGGCCATCATCCCTGTCAAATAATACCATGCGGGACACATTCGTTTTTTCTTCGCGCGCGCACGCCGTCGTCGTCGGCCGCGGGGCCCTGAATAGTAGCCACGGTCGTCCGCATGCCACGAAGTGAAGTGTCCGAACGTCATAGGGCGGGAAGCTGGGTGTGGGTGGTGGCGAAGAGTCGTTTGGAAATTTGGTAGAGCTTGAACCGGCCCCCCCACAAAGTGGGGGTATTGCCCGCCTCCTATGAAAACCCTGGCACTGGTGAGAACGGAGTGTCCCCACGTGCTAGTAATTGTTGTTGTTGTTGTTGTTGTTGTTGTTGTTGTTGTTGTTGTTGTTGTTGTTGTTGTTGTAGTTGTATATAATATGTTCCTCCCAAATCTGCCTGTAATTAGGGGGACAGGCCCGACCTGATGCTCGGGGGACCAGCAGTGGCGGAGCTCGGGTTCGCCGGCGCTTTCTGACGAGCGCGTCCTGGACTTTGACGGTCCCGCGTATGTGAGATGTTTGCAGCGGGAGCTCGCGCCAAATTTCAGACTGGGTCTCGTCGTTTTCATGATGGCCCCGTCCAGGGCTTGTTTCGATTCCTCCGATTCGAGTCGATTCGATTTCGGTGGCGTCCGATTCCGATTCGATTCGATTTGGGACTTCGATTTGGCTCCCGATATCTTGTTGGACGCATGCTGACCTGCCGATCTCCGCCGATTCGACTTTTCCCGACCCGGCGGCCGATTTCCGCCGATCCGACTCATTTCGGTCGCCAATCCGACTTATCGCCCGTCAGGCCAAGCCGAGTCCCCGGAACCCGAGTCTCACGTCTCCCCAGCCGGAGGTCCCCGCGGTTTTTGGCGGATCGGCGGTGGGGCCCCCTGGCGGCGCTTCTCTGGCGCCGCACCTGGCGCGCAGGCCACGCGTCAGGGAGGCTCCAGCGCCGACCCGAGACATCCGCGCGGACCTCCGCGAGTGTATGTTTGTGCCACTGCTCGGTCCCCGATCAGCGTGCCGAGGAAGTGCAGAGGGCTTCTGCGGATCTCCCTTCTGGGGGTCCGCGGGTCCTCTGGCGGGGAGTCCCGACGGTTCTCCCCTCCGGGGGGTCTCCGGGTGCTCCGGCGGAGAGTCCCGACGTCTTCTGAGGTCGCGCAGAGGTCCCGACATCCTCTGCTTCAAAAGGGGGCAGGAGGATGAGGAGGAGGAAGAATAATGTGAGTGATTATAATAAGTATAATCACATTATTAATACGAACAAGATCAGTACGGATAATACGAATCATAAGAAGACGACACGTAATACGAATAGTGATATTATTAAGGGTACTCATAACAAACATACTACTGAGAGTAAGAAGAAAAACGCGAATACGAATAATAAGACACAAGTAATCTCATTCATACGAACAATAAGAATTATACCTATACGACCACCCTTCGGGTGATAAGGAGGTGAGGGGGGGGGAAGGGACCAACGTCGCACTCGATCGATCTTACTATCGAACTCACTACCGATCTCACAATCGATCTCAATCGATCGATCTCACAATCGATCTGACTATCGATCTCACAATCGATCTCACAATCGATCTCACATTCGGTCTCGCTATTGATCTCACAACAGATCTCACAATCGATCTCACAATCGATCTCACATTCGATCTGACTATCGATCTAACTATCGAACTCACTTTGGATCTCATTATCGATCGTACATTCGGTCTCACTACCGATCTCACTATCGATATCACAACCGATATCACAATCGATCTCACATTCGGTCTCACCATCGATCTCACTATCGAACTCACTATCGATCTCATTATCCATCTCACTATCGATATCACCATCGATCTCACAATCGATCTCCCATTCGGTCTTACAATCGATCTCACTACCAATACCACTATCGATCTCACAATCGATCTCACAATCGATCTGACACTCGGTCTCACGCTCGATCTCACAATCGATATCACTATCGATCTCACTATCGATCTCACATTCGACCTCACTATCGATCTCACTATCGATCATCAAAATAAAACACCAACATCATCATCACCATCATCAACATCAACATCAACATCATCATCATCATCATCATCATCATCATCATCACATCATCATCATCATCATCATCATCATCATCATCATCATCATCATCATCATCATCATCATCATCATCATCGGGTCACCCGGGACACGGGACACCGGCGGGACACCGGCCGCCCGGAAGGGAGACATTTGATCCGGCCGCGCCTCTGCCACACGGGACACCAGCGGGACACCGGCGGGACACCGCGGGGCCCCGGCCGCCCGGAAGGGAGACATTTGGTCCGGCCGCGCCTCAGCCACAGGAGACTTTCTCTCGCCCGCCCACGCAGCTTCGCCTCGCCCGCACGGCACGCACGAACATGAAACCGAAATCGATTTCCCGGTAGGGGGGCTCTCCGTTCCACTTCGATCTCACCCCCTCACCTCCGACTACTACGAATAAGAAGAAGTAGGAGAGCCGGAGGAGGAGGAGGAGGAGGAGGGGGAGGGGGAGGGGGGGGGAAGGGGTAGGAGGAGGAGAAGGAGGAGGAGGCGGAGGAGGAGGAGGAGGAGGAGGGAGGAGGAGGAGGAGGGCAATGAGAATGATGAGGAGGAGGATGGAGTTCCAGTCAGCGTCGCCTCCGAATTGGAGCTGGCTTGCGGAGCAAACGTGCGGTAATAAAAGCATGCAAGTGGTTTGGCGGTACTACTCAGCCTACTCGCATGCAGGCTTCTATGTTATACTTTGCTCTGCTCTACTCTGCTCTATTCTGACCCCACGAAATCATAGGATGAAAGACAGAAGAACATGTGGGAGAAACGGTAGTCACACGTGCCTCGCCGCTCATGTATTCCATCCTATGGTAAGCGATGCTCAGAAGCGTTTCGTGGTTTCCCACATCTCCCAGCGATTGTGATACCAGATCGTCTCTGCATCAGGTTATTGAATGTCCTGAGCCTCAAAAGGCGCGTGTGCTGGTGTCCAAGTCAAGTCCCCATCCCGACGCTGCTTACTTTCACGATGCCATGGGCTTGCGAGGAGGGAGGCCTCTCAGACCTTGTTCTTTTCGATCTCTGTTGCACTGCTACCTGATCGCCCATTTTCGATCTCTCCTTCTTTCTGCCACTCTCCCCTCCATCCTCCCTCCCCTCCGCCCGTCTCCATTCCCCTTCCCCTCCCCTCCTCTCCCCCCCAAATCACCCTCGCCCTCTCTCCCTCCACTTCCCCCCACACCAGGTGCTGGGGCTCTACGTGGAGTACTCCCTACTCTGGCGGACGGGGGACGGGGCGCAGTCAGAATCGACCCCGGGCGGTGGCCGATGTCGCGCCAGACGCTCTCCACCATTCCTCTCCTCCTCCTCCTCCTCCTCCTGCCCCTCCTACTCCTGCTGCTCCTCCTCCTGCTGCTGCTGCTGCTGCTCCTCCTCCTCCTCATCCCCCCACTCCCCGTTCTCCCCACCGCTCCTCCTTCCTCCCTTCTCCTCGTTCTCCTCCTCCTCCTCCTCCTCCTCTCTTCCTCCTCCTCCTCTCCTCCTCTCTCTTCCTCCTCCTCCTTCCTCCTCCTCTCCTCCTCCTCTCCTCCCGTCTCCCTCCTCCTCCTCCCTCCTCCTCCTCCACCTCCTCCTCCTCCACCTCCTCCTCCTCCTCCTCCTCCTCCTCCTCCTCCTCCTCCTCCTCCTCCCCGACACTTCCGGGCAAACCCGAGGGGTGCGGACCCTTGCAGCCCACCGTCAACTGGGGACGTCATCGCACTCCATGCAGGGCCCCGTTTTTTTGTCTCCTGGGAGAGGGAAGGGGGTCAAAGGGGCTGGTAACGTCACGATTCGCGCCAGCGCCGTCCAGGAGTTGGCTACCACTAGCAATTTCCAAACGGCGCCGGCGCGAGCCGTGACGTTATCAGGTGGGGGGGGAGGAGGACCCAGACCCCCGACGTTGTGTTTTTTTTACAACGCCGACCCCCAGAGGTCTGGACACCCTTCCCCCAGGACCGGTTTCTCATCCTGAGTCGTCTTTTTTGACGGTCCTGGGGCCTGGTAAGGACCCCTGGAGGCCGAAAATAGCGACCCCCCCCTGTGGTGTTTTTTTTTCACAGCGCGAGGGGATTTGGGGAGGGAGGCATCCCCGGTAACGACTGCGATCACGACTCGTTGGAGAGCGCCCCGCAGCAGCCCCCCCAGACGAGCCAGGGGGGCTCGGACTCCTCGGGGAGCGCCCGCGGCCCACGCCTCTCGGGGGCTCGCGTGCTCGAGGCCCCGAGTGCCTTGGCCTCCTTGCTCCTCCTCCTCGATGGAGGAGGAAGAGGAGGAGGAGGAGGAGGAGGAGGAGGAGGAGGAGGAGGAGGAGGAGGAGGAGGAGGAGGAGGAGGAGGAGGAGGAGGAGGAGGAGGAGGAGGAGGAGGAGGAGGCCAGCGTGCTGCGCAGGTGGCTGTCGCTGCGAGACTGTCGCTTGTCCCCACGGCGGCCCGCGCCCCCGCAAGATTTACATACACCTGCAGCTTCCGCCGCACTGTGTGGAGAAGCTCTGGGCATGGGGGATGCCCGATGGGAGCGGCTGGGTACGGCTCGGGGTTGCGCAAAAGCAGCCTCCCGAGGCAGTCCCGCCTGGCCTCAACAGGCCCTCCCGAGTAGCCCAGGGTGCTCTCAACACCCCGGCGCCGCTCGCGGCGTCCCTGGTCGAAGAAGAGAGAATTGCATAAACATTAACTTCTGGAGGTCCGCGCGGATTTCTTGGATCGGCGCTGGACCCTCCTCGCTGGCGTGCGGAGCGCGCCATGGGCGGCGCCAGAGGCGCCGCCAGGGGCGTCCGGCGCAGACCCACGAACTCCGCGCGGACCGCCAACAGTCTATGCTTATGCAGTTTTTCTTCCTTCATCTGGGGCGCTCCGCCCCAGGGTTGTGGTGTTGAGACCGCCCCAGACTATGCGGAGAGCCTGGTGATGCCAGGCGCGCTACATCGGGAGGGGCTGTGTGTGCGCGACCCCGAGCTTTGCCAGGAGGGTTGGAGGCGGCGGGAGGACAGAGCGAGTGAGGATGATGGAGGGGGTTAGCTGCCGACTAATCACGCCGCGTGCCACTCCGGGTGCGCGCGGTTGAGGAGGAGGGAGGCGGAGGATGCTGAGAATTGTGTAGTGGGAGTAGGGAGGAGGAGGGAGGAGGGGGAGGAGGAGGTGGAGGAGGATGAGGATGAGGAGGAGGAGGAGGACGAGGCGGAGGCGGAGGCGGAGGCGGAGGCGGAGGCGGAAGAGGAGGAGGAGGAGGCGGAGGAGGGGAAGAGGAGGAGGAGGAGGAGGAGGAGGAGGAGGAGCAGGGAAAGGAGGGGGCGGAGACGACGGCTGTGCACTGTCGAGAGGAGGGCGATGCGACGAGGGGAGCGGCGAGCGCTCGGAGGCGTCGGTCTGCGAAGCCACCGGACGGGCCCTGCGGCGCCGGGCGCGGTGCGGCCGTGATTGCACAGTCGAGCATCGGATCAAGAAGCCTCTTCTTATGTCGGGCGTGTCCCCCTACAGGGGGATTTTCGACGACAAATGAAACAAATTCCCACAAATGCCCCCCAAAGGTCAAAATTATCCCAGTGCGACCCTACCTAGGAGTTGGAGCATTTAGGAAAGCAACATCTGCATCTATACCGACAGCTACATTTACATCTACACCTGCATCTACATGCTATGCTATGATATGCTATGCTATGTATGCTATGCTATGCTATGCTATGCTATGCTATGCTATGCTATGCTGCGCTATGATATGCTATGCTATGCTATGTTGTGCTGTGCTATGCTGTGCTGTGCTATGCTATGTTATGCTGCGTTGCGCTATGCTAAGCAATGCTATGCTATGCCATGCCATGCTATGCTATGCTGCGCTATGCTATGCTATGCTATGCTATGCTGAGCTGAGCTGTGCTATGCTATGCTATGCTATGCTATGACATGCTGTACTAATGCTGCGCTGCGCTATGCTGCGTTGCGCTAAGCTAGGCTAAGGTAAGCTAAGCCATGCTAAGCTAAGCTACGCTAAGCTCAGCTAAGCTAGGCTAGGCTAGGCTAAGCTACGCTAAGCTAAGCTAAGCCAAGCCATACTAAGCCAAGCCAAGCTAAGCTAAGCTAAGCTAAGCTAAGCTAAGGTGAGATAAGCTAAGCTGAGCTAAACTAAGCTAAGCTAAGCTAAACTAGGCTAGGCTAGGCTAAGCTAAGCAAAGCTAAGCTAAGTTAAGCTAGGCTAAGCGAAGATGAGATAAGCAACGCTAAGCTCAGGGGACGTAGCTGGTGGAACCGCGGGGCGGATCCTGGGGGAGCCGCCCGGGGCGAGGAACACTGCCCGGCCCCTTTAAGACAGTGAGTAAGAACCCTTCTAGGCAGAGTCTAGGTAGGGAAATACTCAAAAAATAGTCCCCAGACTATTTTTGGATTATTTTTTGACCTTTTTAGGGGTATTCTTAATTTTTCGTTGAAAATCCCCCTGTAGGGGGACAGGCCCGATTTACGCCTCCTCCCGAGGGTCCCGGGGCTCGCAGCCCGGCGACACCGCCGGTGGTGAAGGAAGTGCGCTGCCAGGATCTCGGGGTCTCCCTGCCAGAGGGCGGCCTCGTCTTCCTCCTCCCCTCCCTCGCTTTTCCTCGGCGTCCTCGCGTGAGGGGCGCGCGCGGTCAGAAGGGGTGTCGGCCCCGACTTTGTCCCCGTGGGGGGGGGGAAAACGCTCAGCGTCGTGCCTGGCCTCGAAGGAGAAACACAACATTGACAGGCCATCCACAACTGGGGGAGCTGTGGTCCTTACCGCCCGGGGGGACCCATCGATTTCGGCACCCCTCTCGAGAGATCGTCGATGCGATTGGTTCCCCCAGGGGGGTAAGGACCACAGCTCTCCTAGTTGTGGCTGGTCGGATTAACATAAACTGTTGGATCTCCGCACGGCTTCCTTAGATTGGCGCTGGTTCCCTGGCGGCGCCCCAGGCGCCGCCACTGGCGCGTTCCGCTCGTTGGGGAGGGGGTTCGGCGCGGATATAGCAAGTCCGCGCGGACCTCCAGTAGTGTTTGTGCAGTTGTTTCTTCCTCTAGTGTCGTGTTTGGCCGCTGTGCTGATTGATATGTCTTCATTGCTCTTCGTTCTCCCTCTCCTGCTCAGCGTCAGCATCTTCCCGATTTTCGAGTCGAGCCTGCATTCTCACGGTCGTGGACTTCTCTTTATCCGTCCCCAGGAGATCCGACGGCATAGCATCATGGAGTCGCCCATGTGTTCCTCCGTCTCTCCTGCCCTAGCTACACCTGCAGGAGGGTCTAACTTCGGCGGCGAGGCCAGGGGGAAGTGAGAAGGGGCGGGCCTTCTCAGAAGCCTCAGAAAGCCTTCAGTCTTCTGAGAAGTTCTTTAAGTTTGACCCGAAGACAAGAGTTTTTCTTAGAAGGCGTGAGGGTTTTTGAGAAGCCCCGCCGCCTTCTGAGAAGGCCTGCTCCTCACTGCCCCCTCTCAGGCGCGCCGCCGATAACTGTCTGGTTTGTAGCTCCATCACTGAGCGCCCTGGACCAGGGTGCCTCCTGCTCCTGCTTGCCTCCAGTGAGCATCCCGTGCGTGCCCCCACTCATGGCCCACATCGTTTTGTCAGTGTTGTTGCCAGGAAGCTCGCTCCGCTCGTACCCGCTCGCTCGTTACGCACATCTCGTTGCCAGCGTTGTGTTGTCAGGAGGCCTGTTCCGCACGTTCCCGCCAGTTCGCAAAGCCTCATCTCTTCAAGGACTGGCTCGTGGATCTGTCGGGGTCATTGGGGCATCGCAGTGCTCTTCTTCACCTGCATGTCCTGCACATCATAAGCAGAAGATGCAACCACCAACATCTGCGTCTCCCCTCCTCACCCTCCTCCTCATCCTCCGCACTCTCCTTCTGGCTGTGCTCAAGCTTCCCTCTCTTCCTCCCAGCCTTGCCCCTCAAGGGCGGGGCCAGACGCGCGCAATCGGATCGGCGCTGCGCACCCTGGCATCGGCCTTGGCCTCCACGACCGCACCGGGAGCCCGCCGAGCAGCGGCACCCCTGCTGGCTCGGCAGCGTGCGGGGGCAGCCAGGCAGCACGTGCACGGACAGTGTCTTGGCATCGCTCGGACGTGTGCATTTTTCCTTCGGCGAGGACCATCCAGGAGCATCCTTGATCATTTGGCAAAAAAGCCACGCACGAAACCGACAAAAAACACAGGAAATGGACGTCCGAGCGATGGCCAGGTGTGCGAGCGCAGCGGAGGGCGGAGAGGCGCAAGACCACGTGGGCTCAGCGGCCGCCCGAGGGGGCC